AGCCAGCTAAGAATTTAAGCCAGGCAAATCTTGACGTCCCCTGGGGTGAGGACAAAGAAATTTCAAAGAGATCAGCATTTCCAGAGACTCATCCGGGGAGATTAGCCTGCTATTCCCGGGAAACGTCTCTATAAAATGCTGTCTCCGACTAAGGGAGATCCGCGGATGGACGGGTAGGGGGCATCTCCAGTCGGAAACAGCATTTCATAGAGACTCATCCGGGGAGATCAGCCTGCTACTCCCGGGAAACATGGTAATCCCATGTAATCCCTCTATGTCTTACCGGGTATTGCCGGCATATACCGGCTTATACATACTATAGTCAAACAAGTTGCACGTCGCTGCGCCATTGAATCAAATCAGATGGGTTACCAACCGCCTGTGGAAAAGGCATTTTATAGACATATGTCTTGCCATATTGGAGCAGCGCTTCGGAGACAACACCTAGATTGGAGCAGCATTTTATAGAGGATAACTGGGTTGTTGCCCGATGTCGCGCTGCGTGTCTTTGCACACGCGTCGTCTGCGGAGAAGCATTTCATAGAGATGACGGAGAGGTCATGTCATAGAGGGTTCCCACTTGCTGTCTGGATGTTGGCTGACGGAGGACCATTTTATAACCAATTTTATCTATAAAATGCTTCGTAAAGCATCCTAGGGAACAAGTAATGTCAACATCGTATTTAAAAACCACCCCAAACATTAAAGGAGTCACAATAAAGTTAGGGCCAAACATTCAACTATCGTAAAAATCACCTATGTATTCACGAATGAATTGCCTAATTGAAAACGAATACATAAAGGGAACTTTCCAAAAAAAAATCACCAATGTATTCACGAATGAATTGCCTAATTGAAAAGGAATACATAAAGGGAACTTTCCAAAAAAAAAATCACCTATGTATTCACGAATGAATTGCCTAATTGAAAACGAATACATAAAGGGAACTTTCCAAAAAAAAAATCACCTATGTATTCACGAATGAATTGCCTAATTGAAAACGAATACATAAAGGGAACTTTCCAAAAAAAAAATCTCCTATGTATTCACGAATGAATTGCCTAATTGAAAACGAATACATAAAGGGAACTTTCCCAAAAAAAATCTCCTATGTATTCACGAATGAATTGCCTAATTGAAAACGAATGCATAAAGGGAACTTTCAAAAAAAAAATCACCTATGTATTCACGAATGAATTGCCTAATTGAAAACGATTACATAAATTAGGATAATTAGGATGGACAAATATTTCAGAATACTTTATTTAGGGGTTGAGTATACTGACAAATTATTGTGATGTCAAGGGTGCACAAATATTTCAGAATACTTTATTTAGGGGAGTATGCCAAGGGTGCACAAATATTTCAGAATACTTTATTTAGGGGAGTGCAAACATTCATTATTATTTTGATGTTAAGGGTTGATTTTTTTTTAAATTTTCATTTTAGTATTCCCAAATGAATTGCCTAATTGAAAACGAATACATAAGGGAACTTTCCAGAAAAAAAATCACCTAATTATGTATTCCCAAATGAATTGCCTAATTGAAAACGATTACATAAAGGGAACTGTCCAGAAAAAAAAACACAATGAATTGCCTAATTGAAAACGATTACATAAAGGGAACTTTCCAGAAAAAAAATCACCTATGTATTCACGAATGAATTGCCTAATTGAAAACGATTACATAAATTAGGATAATTAGGGTGGACAAATATTTCAGAATACTTTATTTAGGGGTTGAGTATACTGACAAATTATTGTGATGTCAAGGGTGCACAAATATTTCAGAATACTTTATTTAGGGGAGTGCAAACATTCATTATTATTTTGATGTGTAGGGTGCACAAATATTTCAGAATACTTTATTTAGGGGTTGAGAATACTGACAAATTATTGTGATGCCAAGGGTGCACAAATATTTCAGAATACTTTATTTAGGGGAGTGCAAACATTCATTATTATTTTGATGTTAAGGGTTGATTTTTTCAATTTTCATTTTAGTATTCCCAAATGAATTGCCTAATTGAAAACGAATACATAAGGGAACTTTCCAGAAAAACAAATCACCTAATTATGTACTCCCAAATGAATTGCCTAATTGAAAACGATTACATAAAGGGAACTTTCCAGAAAAAAAATCACCTATGCATTCCCAAATGAATTGCCTAATTGAAAACGATTACATAAAGGGAACTTTCCAGAAAAAAAAACCACCTATGCATTCACGAATGAATTGCCTAATTGAAAACGATTACATAAGTTAGGATGGACAAATATTTCAGAATACTTTATTTAGGGGTTGAGTATACTGACAAATTATTGTGATGTCAAGGGTGCACAAATATTTCAGAATACTTTATTTAGGGGAGTGCAAACATTCATTATTATTTTGATGTGTAGGGTGCACAAATATTTCAGAATACTTTATTTAGGGGGGTGTCCAAACTGATACATTATTTTGATGCCAAGGGTGCACAAATAGTTCAGAATACTTTATTTAGGGGTTGAGTATACTGACACATTATTGTGATGTTAAGGGTGGAACAATTTTTCAGAATACTTTATTTAGGGGTTGAGTATACTGGCACATTAATTATTGTGATGTTAAGGGTGGAAAAAATATAGTTCAGAATACTTTGTTTAGGGGGAGCAAACTGACACATTAATTAATTAATTAATTATTTTGATGACACATATTTGAGGTTCAAATTTGAGAAGATTTGAATCAGTTTTTTCGATTTGTAATTAATTTGCTTGATTTTAGATTGAACTGTAAATTATAGATTCCAGCGCCAGCTCGTTTGGAGAACCTTTCAGATCCACGCTCTTCAGATCACATGCTGCCTATGGAGGACCCGGAAGTTGAGTTGTTTAAGTTCATGGCTTTTGAGCTTAGAATTTAGCTCAGGAAAAGGAGAAGGTTGAGGGGGGTGTCTGGGTGTCTGTCTGTCTGTCTTCTATCTCTCTCTCTCCCTCTCACTCTCTCTCTCTCTAATTAATTCTCTCTCTCTCTCTTGGTATCCTTTCAGTTTTCTTTTCAGCTATCTTTCTGGGTTTGTCCGTTCAGCGTTGAGTTCAGCACCTTGGCAGGAGATGACATCTTTGAGATTGTGCCCCACTTGAAATCGACCTCTTCAGCATCTTCGAGTAAAGTTGAAGCCAAGCCCATCGAGGATCAGAAAGGCGTGGTGAGGGGTTCAGGTTTGTTTTAAGTATCTGCCAAGTCTTTTTAGAGAAGCCATCTTTGAGATTCAGCATTTCTAATAACTAATTAGTCAACATTATATTTCTTCCCCTTGTAATCCCATTGTATTTCAATTCCTTTTCCAATAATTACTTAATTATTTTTCAATTCATTGTGTTCATTTTTATTCCCATTTATACTCATTATATTGGTTTGAGGGTTGTGTTTTCCAATAGGGTTCAGACAGGGTGGAGCTAAGCACCTTGGCAGGAGAAGATTTGAAGCCCTCTTCCTTGACTTCAAGCAAAGAAGCCAAGCCTATTGAGGATCAGAAAGGCAATGTTTTTTTTGGGCAGCTGGTTGATTGAAGAAGGGTCAGCCACTTGAAGGGATGTTTCATCAATTCACATCACGGGTGGTTCCAGCAGCTTGAGGTTTCTATCAGCTTGAAGGTCATGATTTTTCAGCAGGGTTCAAAGAAGGGTTCGAAAAGGTCCATTTTTGCACCTTCAGAAGGTATTCAGAAGTTTGAATCTGTCACCAACAGCTTGAGAGGGTTCAGATTCCTTCAAATGGTTCATACATATGGTTCAACATCGCAGCATTTTCAGCACAGACCGCCCAAGCTGTTGAGCCCGTCGAGTCAGTTGAGCCCAGTGAAATTGAGCCCAGCATGGCCTTGAGCCGCGTCCACTACCTTTTAGGGCTCATTGTCTTGAGCTGTGCAGCTGGTTTCTTTGTATGAATTCATGTAACGTTTTTCTTCACCACTTGTTTGAATTCCTAACAGGTGCCCTTGAGAGTAGAGGGGATGCATTTTTTTAAGGCAACAGTTGATGAGCAACTTTAGGCCTTGCGGTGCCAGTTGACACTTCAGGACGCGTTCAGATGGTATCTAGTCATTTTGAGTGCTTTGCAAGTGTTTTGTTTGTTAAACAATTTTTCCCCTCAATTTCTTGAATAATTAATTAAGTTTTTAATTCAACATTAACTAATTAATTAATAAGTTTTTCCGATTTCCCACCATTCTTTCTTGAGGTGTGCTTCAGCGTGGTTGGGGTGCTGAGCCTCTTCGTCTTGAAGGAGATGAGGGAGAGGTTTCAGGACCTTCAGGAGTCAGCAAGGTTTGCAGCCGAGAAGCTCCACTACCTTGAGCGCAGTCCCCTGTTCTTGCAATTCAGAAATTAATCAAGTTTTTCATGAATTAATCAATTAATTAATTAAATTGAATTGACTAATTGATTCATCAATTAATTAATTAATTAATTAATTGATTGATTAATTACAGTTCCTTTCAAGGGCTTTCACTTCTTGAGTTGCAGTTGGTTGAGAAGTTCTTTTTGAACACCTCTCAGGGGCAGATTCAGCAGCAAGCCTGACTTCCGATTTGCTGCGCCACATTGGCCAGGCCCTGGTTGAGTTCGATTGCCGTCTTTTGGAAGATTCAGCATTGCTTTCTTTTGATACAAAGTGTTTTTTTTCAGTGTGTTGGATTTGTTTGATCATTTACAAGCCCTTTTTTCTAAGGCAAGGGAGGCGCCATGGTGTTCCAGCTTTCGCTGGTGAGTTTGAGGCCAGCAGATGCTTCAGCAGATTTCGAGGCCTATAAGAAGCCTGGCAAAAATCAGAGATTCATTGAGTAATTTTACTTTTTCCATTTCGTTAATTATAGTCTCATAACTAACTAATGAATTAATTAACTAACTAATTAATTAATTAATTAAGAAATTAGTTAATTAGTCAACATGTTTCAGGAAATTAGTTATTTTCTTCAGCTTTGGGAGTTTCATTTCAGGAGCGACTGGGATTGCATGTTGGAGATCTCAAGGCGGCTGGTGATCAACGACATGTTCTATGAGAGGTTGTCGCATGTTTCTTGATCACTGTTTGCATTTTTTGCTTTTTTAATTTCAATGATTAATTAATTAAGCTCATTGTTTCGTGATAAAGTTGTTTTGTTTATAGTTTGCATTTCTTATGGTGTTTCACTCCCACCTCAGGCTGCTGAAGGAACCTCGATTTCGAAGAGGAGGCAGGCAGAGATTGAGGAGGTGTTGAAGAATTGCCAGCGTCCGGAGATCGATTCAGTGAAGTTCCAGTCAGAAACCTGGCTGAAATAATCCAGGATGTTTTGCATATTTAATTAATTAATTTGTAAAAGTAAATTGAAATCAGTCGAAAGTAAATTGAAATCAATCGAAATAAATCAATTGAAAGATATTGAAAGTAAATTGAAATCAGTTGAAAGTAATTAAATTGAAACCAATTGAAATCAATTGCAAGTAAATTGAAATCAATTGAATTCAATTGAAAATCAATTGAAATCAATTGAAAGTAAATTGAAATCAATTGAATTCAATTGCAAATCAATTGAAATCAATTGAAAGTAAATTTGAAATCAATTGAACTCAATTGAAAATCAATTGAAAACAATTGAAAGTAAATTGAAATCAATTGAATTCAATTGAAAATCAATTGAAATCAATTGAAAGTAAATTGAAATCAATTGAATTCAATTGAAAATCAATTGAAAATCAATTGAAATCAATAATCAATTGATACCATTTTATTGAGGACCTTGCAAATTAATTAATTAATGACATGCAGTTTCAACATGTTCTTTTTGGGAGTTGTTCTTTCTAAGGAGTTGGAGCTTGACGAGTTGCTCCAGCGTTCGAGCCCATGGCGTTCCCTGGGGTACCATTGCAAGTACTTGAAGACCAGGGAGGAAGACACGATGTATTTTGTGTGTGTATTATTTTGACGTTTTCCTTTTCATTTTGCTTTGCCTTTTTCATTTTGTTTTGTTTGCCTTCTTAGTAAATTAGTAACTTCATTAATTAATTAATATTTTTAAGCACCAGTTTTCTTTTGATTCAACTAATTAACTATCTTCTTTTCTTGAACCATTTCGCTAAGGTTGAAGTGTCAAGCGTTGAAGCTCAACTGGGCAACAATATCCGAGATGCGACAGAGATGCCGCAGTGGAACACAGCACAAAATGTTTCCTGGCGTTCATTTGAGCAACCGTAAAAACCCCGGCAATACTAAATATGTATTCGACGGACATTGGCTTATGGAAATTGATGGCTTATACAAATTTTGTTTAATTTTTTTTTGGGAGGAATTTGACACTGAGGCGAAGGCAATGGCAGATCAAGCGCAGTGGCATTACGGTGTCTATTGAGAGGCATTGACAGGAAATTCAGAGCCTGCTGAGCTTGAGAGCGGTTTGAGACACGGTTTGAGAAAGAGTTGAGTCGAACCCCAAAGTTTTTAGAGCTACACACCAGTGTCTCACTTCGAGCGTGTTGAGCTTCTTCAGACGCCTCCTTTGATGAGTTGTTTAAACATGCCTTTTAGCATTTGATTTCATTAATCAATCACGTATTCAATTGTATAAAAAATGACCTGAAAGTCATTCAGTCAGATTTGGTTGGTGAGGAGGCCTGAAGTTGAGCTCCACTTCAGCGGCTGAGGGAACTTTAGCAGGGACTCAACCTTTTCAGGCCCTTCAGATCTTTTCAGGCCCTGCAGATCTTGAGCCTGGAAATAGATTGGAATAGCAGATATTTTAGATCTGCGGCAGATATTTTACATCTGCAGGCTTCAGTGCCAAAAGGGCGTTCAACTGGACAAGGGAACATGAGGGAAACTCAGAATGATAATTATCTGACTGTATTTGGTTCACGGGGAAGTTGAATGCCATTTTCTTTAAAAGGGATTAATTAGATTAGGAAGGGAATTGAGAAAAGAATTCAACCACCAAAATTTAAGCCCCAGAAACCCAGATACTTTATTTAGGGGTGGTGAAACATTCATTTTATTTAGGGGTTTGCGAGCTTCAAGACTACCCCCTTTGTGGGATTGTTTTTGGGCATTTTTGAATAAGGGTTTAGTAAAGAAATCGATCATTTGAGCCATTTTGAATTTTCTCAATTCCACAATTAACTAATTACCTTTTCAGAAAAGGTTTGGTGATTCCTGCATCCAGCTCAAATGGGTTTCAGAGGGTTTCAGGGTTCCAAACAAAATCTTAACCTTTGAGATCCAAATACTTTATTTAGGGGTGTGAGATCATTCATTATTATTTAGGGGTAGCTTCTTTCAGTAATAAATGCATGAATTAGATTAGAAAGGGAATTGAGAAAAGAATTCAACCACCAACATTGAAGCCCCAGAAACCCAGATACTTTATTTAGGGTAGTGAAACATTCATTATTATTTAGGGGTTTGCGAGCTTCAAGACTACCCCCTTTGTGGGATTGTTTTTGGGCATTTTTGAATAAGGGTTTAGTAAAGAAATCGATCATTTGAGCCATTTTGAATTTTCTCAATTCCATAATTAATTCACTAATTACCTTTTCAGAAAAGGTTTTGAAGTTTCCTGCATCCAGCTCAAATGGGTTTCAGAGGGCTTCAGGGTTCCAAACAAAATCTTAACCTTTCAGATCCAAATACTTTATTTAGGGGTGTGAGATCATTCATTATTATTTTGGGGTAGTTTCTTTCAGTAATTCACGCATTAATTCAGCAATTACTGTTCCAGCCAGCTTGCCTTGCTTCAGGAGAAGCAAAGATGTCGACAAGCGAAGAGAAAGGAGGTGGATTCAGGGACCAGGGGCGATTTAATTAGGAAACTAATTTTAAAGGGGAATAAAGGGTTTTGAAGTGTTCAGAAAAAGTATGAGAATAGGTTTCACCAGAAATTCAATGGGAGCCAATTTCAAAATAATTAATTACTTTAATTATTTAGGCACCACCATAAATATATTATTTATTAATTTAACCAATTACTAACTTTAGTTCATGATTCATGGGGGATTAAGTTGCATAATTATTTAATTAATTAATTACGTTTTTCCCCAAGAGGGATTCAAATAGGAAAAGACTTGAGAAAAGAATTCAACCACCAAAAGTTCGACTTTTCAGAATAGAATACTTTATTTAGGGGTGTGAGATCATTCATTATTATTTAGGGGTAGTTTCTTTCAGTAATAAATGCATGAATTAGATTAGAAAGGGAATTGAGAAAAGAATTCAGCCACCAACATTGAAGCCCCAGAAACCCAGATACTTTATTTAGGGTAGTGAAACATTCATTATTATTTAGGGGTTTGCGAGCTTCAAGACTACCCCCTTTGTGGGATTGTTTTTGAGTATTTTTGAATAAGGGTTTAGTAAAGAAATCGATCATTTGAGCTATTTTGAATTTTCTCAATTCCATCTCTTCAGAAAAGGTTTTGAAGTTTCCTGCATCCAGCTCAAATGGGTTTCAGAGGGTTTCAGGGTTCCAGGCAAAATCTGAACCATTCAGATCCAAATACTTTATTTTGGGGTGTGAGATCATTCATTATTATTTGGGGGTAGTTTCTTTCAGTAATAAATGCATGAATTAGATTGGAAAGGGAATTGAGAAAAGAATTCAACCACCAACATTGAAGCCCCAGAAACCCAGATACTTTATTTTTTCGGGGTGGTGAAACATTCATTTTATTTAGGGGTTTGCGAGCTTCAAGACTACCCCCTTTGTGGGATTGTTTTTGAGCATTTTTGAATAAGGGTTTAGTAAAGAAATCGATCATTTCAGCAATTTTGCATTTTCTCAATTCCATAATTAATTAATTACCTTTTCAGAAAAGGTTTTGAAGTTTCCTGCATCCAGCTCAAATGGGTTTCAGAGGGTTTCAGGGTTCCAAACAAAATCTTAACCTTTCAGATCCAAATACTTTATTTTGGGGTGTGAGATCATTCATTATTATTTGGGGGTAGTTTCTTTCAGTAATAAATGCATGAATTAGATTAGAAAGGGAATTGAGAAAAGAATTCAACCACCAACATTGAAGCCCCAGAAACCCAGATACTTTATTTAGGGGTGGTGAAACATTCATTTTATTTAGGGGTTTGCGAGCTTCAAGACTACCACCTTTGTGGGGTTGATTTTGATCATTTTTGAATAAGGGTTTAGTAAAGAAATCGATCATTTCAGCAATTTTGCATTTTCTCAATTCCATAATTAACTAATTACCTTTTCAGAAAAGGTTTTGAAGTTTCCTGCATCCAGCTCAAATGGGTTTCAGAGGGTTTCAGGGTTCCAGGCAAAATCTGAACCATTCAGATCCAAATACTTTATTTAGGGGTGGTGAAACATTCATTATTATTTAGGGGTACTCTCTTTCAGTAATAAATGCATGAATTAGATTGGAAAGGGAATTGAGAAAAGAATTCAACCACCAAAATTTGAGCACCAGAAACCCAGATACTTTATTTAGGGGTGGTGAAACATTCATTTTATTTAGGGGTTTGCGAGCTTCAGGACTACCCCCTTTGTGGGATTGTTTTTGAGCATTTTTGAATAAGGGTTTAGTAAAGAAATCGATCATTTGAGCCATTTTGAATTTTCTCAATTCCATAATTAACTAATTACCTTTTCAGAAAAGGTTTGGTGATTCCTGCATCCAGCTCAAATGGGTTTCAGAGGGTTTCAGGGTTCCAAACAAAATCTTAGCCTTTGAGATCCAAATACTTTATTTAGGGGTGTGAGATCATTCATTATTATTTAGGGGTAGCTTCTTTCAGTAATAAATGCATGAATTAGATTAGAAAGGGAATTGAGAAAAGAATTCAACCACCAACATTGAAGCCCCAGAAACCCAGATACTAATTTTAGGGTGGTGAAACATTCATTTTATTTAGGGGTTTGCGAGCTTCAAGACTACCCCCTTTGTGGGGTTGATTTTGATCATTTTTGAATAAGGGTTTAGTAAAGAAATCGATCATTTCAGCAATTTTGCATTTTCTCAATTCCATAATTAACTAATTACCTTTTCGGAAAAGGTTTTGAAGTTTCCTGCATCCAGCTCAAATGGGTTTCAGAGGGTTTCAGGGTTCCAGGCAAAATCTGAACCATTCAGATCCAAATACTTTATTTAGGGGTGGTGAAACATTCATTATTATTTAGGGGTACTCTCTTTCAGTAATAAATGCATGAATTAGATTGGAAAGGGAATTGAGAAAAGAATTCAACCACCAAAATTTAAGCACCAGAAACCCAGATACTTTATTTAGGGGTGGTGAAACATTCATTTTATTTAGGGGTTTGCGAGCTTCAAGACTACCC